TCAGCAGGACTTGTCCACTGTCAGCAGGCACTGAGACAGCCTGGAGACCTTTCCCAACAAGATCTACCCCACCAGAAAATATCCCTTGATTCAGCCTAGATTTTCCTTTTCCTAACTTCAAGTTATTTCATCTAGCCTTAAATCTTCTAAGCCTTATTTTAAGTATCCCTCTTGCACCCAGCTGACATGAAGGCTGTTTGTCACACTGTTTCCCTGGTGCACTCATCCCTCATTTCCATGTGCTCTGCATCAGACGTGTTCCTGCAGCAAAGCGCCTGGGCTCCCCAGCTCTGATGAAGCAGTGGGAGGATGGAGACAATGAAATCAGAGTGAGTAATCCCCAGGCAGGAGCTGGCATTTCACTCCACCTCCTGTGTGCAGAGCCCACGTTTCCAGCACGTCGTGGGTTTTGGAAACAGAACTGCAGTGTCAGAGCTCCTAGAAGAAGCTGGAGAAGGGACTGTGGGAGATGTACATGGTCCTGTCTTTCCACTTTGTCTACTGTAATATCAAGGATAACATAATTAACAGTACTGATCTTTATATGGCATCTTTGGGTTTCAGTGCCCAAATGTGCTGATATAAACAGGGCAAATTTCTCCTGAGTCGTTTTTCTGGGCTGCAAGGACAAAAGTAATCTTTTTGACTACAGACATGGGGCAATTTAAAGTTCTTTGTTGCTGTTGTTGACAGTGCAGCATCACTTTCCTGTCCTGAAATTCTGGACTCCATGAACGAGAGGAGCACAAGGGTAGGCTTTACTTTTGCTCACTAACTGTCCCTACTCCCAGGTCAGGTTCAGCACTCTTCTTTGCATTCCCTCTGATCTGACTGGCAAGTCCCCAAAGGTCTGTGACACTCCCAGAGCAGAAGCAGCAGGAAACCCAGTACTCTGACAGGCTGAGGGCAGTCATATCACAGAGATAACCCAGATTTCAACTGCTGGACCACCAGAGAAACCACTCTGAAGCTGCTGCTCACTCCTTACAGCTAGGAGGCAATGAGGCAGGGAGGTTGAACCCACAGCATTGGTGTTTTTGCTTGAGAGCAAGGATGCACTTGGAATGGATCAGATGAGGACTGGAAGAGATGTGAGAGCTGGAAGGAAAAGGGGGTGAGCAAGGCCAGCACTGAGGGATGCTTAGAGAATGAAACTATGGCTCTCTGAGGCAAAATCATGATGATCTGTACTGCAACAATGCTTACAAAATGAATAAAATCAGGAATTGAAGAATGAAACAAAAGACTGGCTCCAGCAGTGCCTGTACATGCAGCAGGGGCCAGCTGTCTCCCCAAACCACCCCCACCACATGCTGCTGCAGACTCACCTCTCAGCTCCTGCAGCTCCATGCTGAGGCGCTCAATGTTGGAGTCACAAAAATCAAGGTTTTCCAGGGTCTCTGCTCTCACCAGCTCATCCTGCTGCTCCTCCAGCATCAGGCTTAGCTCAGCACGGGTCTTGCCATAAGTCTCCAGGTCTTGCTCCACCTCTCTGATCCTTGTCAGCAGAATGGAGCGGGGAGAAGCTGTTCCTGCCTGTGTCAAGTCCTCGTGTCCCTCCTGTGCCCGCTGCTCCTGGCTGCTAGGCTGAAGCTGTGGGGGGGGCACATTCCTCCGCTGGTTGCTTGTTGGAGGTCGGGGCGCAGGCCGGGAGGGCTTCACTGAGAAGGACAAAGTCCTGCCTTTGGGCACCTGGCCACCCAGAGTGTGCACAGGAGTTGTTGCAAGGCTGCTGGGCCGAGGAGGGGGTGGCCTCAGGGCTTTCCTCCTCTCTGGCTGCCTGGTGTGGGAGGCACACTCAGGAGACCCACGGACAATGTCCTTCTCAGAGCTGTAGTCCAAGATAGAAAAGTGTCGGGAAACCTTGTCCTGCTCAGCGCCGGTCGTGGTCAAACTCTTCTCAAACTGCGCCAGCTGCTCTGTCAGTTTGGAGTCGAGGTCCATGCAGCCATCCCCCTGCACTGCAAGCTGGCAGCATTCCCCCAAGCTCCCAGCCCACGTGTCCAAGCCCACCTGGGAACCTCCCAAACCAGAGGAACAAGGTTTGGATTTCTCCTGTTGACCATCCATCCAGTTGTCCAGGTCCTGGAAGCTGCTATGGCTCTCCTGGGGCTCAGAGGCTGCCCAGTTGTTAGGAGAGGAAATTGCTTGGCTCCTGCAAGGATCCAGGAGGAAGTGGGGAGCCTCAGGGGGCACACTGGGACTCTCTTCATCATGCTCAGGCAGGGTGTGAGTTTCTGAGTTTCCCTGGGAGGCTGAAATGGTTCCCGCAGGCTTCAGCTCACCTGCTTGGCCGGGCCTGTTGCCCTGCTGGGAAGGCAGTTGAGCATCAGGGAGAAGACCATTGACTGTCTTGGTGCAGTCAATGGGGAGGGAGTTTGATGTGCCTTTGGGATGTGGCCCTTGGTGTCCAGTGCCAGGAAAGGCCTTATGCTGTTTCAGATCTGTGCCAAGATGACCCTCTGTTCTCCCCATCGTGTGAGATGAAATGGTGTCAGGCTCAGGGTGCGCATCCTCCCTTTTTCTGCCATCTTTCTCTGACAAAGGAAGAGCTTCAGAGCAGGTGCTTTCTAGGTCTTGATGGATGGTGACTCCACAGGTCCCTCCACCTTGGGGATCCCCAGCACTTGCCTTTCCCTTGCAAGGCTCAGACGTTTCCAGCTTCACAAATCTGTGTGGAAAGATGCCGCGTTTTCCCCTCAGCTCCCCCTCCAGCCAACCATCTTCCAGAACACCTACGATCCGAATCCTGTCACCCACATCAAAATCCAGTTCCTTGGGCTCCAGGGCTTGGAACTGATAAAGGGCAACACCATAAGTGCTCCCTGGCTCCTCCTCCTCCTTAGGGGATATCTCTACCATCCCATTGGTGTCACATGTCCCTGTGGGCTCTGGATCCACTGTGGTTCCTGGTGCTCGCAGAGGAGTAAGCAGTTCCACAAAACCCTCTGGGAAGATGCCTCTGCAGCCTCTGAGCTCACCTTCGAACCAGCCAGGCTCTGGGACACCAATAATGTTTATCACATCCCCTTCCCTGAAGTCCAGTTCCTCCTCCAGCTGAGCAGACAGGTCCATCAGGGCCCGGGCTTGGCCCAGCGAGTAGGCAGGCACCTCCAGGAGAGCAGTCTGGGACAGCTGACGGCTCCGAACTGAAAGGCACAGCTCCCGCACACATGATGAGGGGAAAAAGCCCTTGGAACCCCAGCTACTTCGGCCCTGGAGCCAGCTGGAGGCCAGGGACCCCCCCAGGATCACCAGGTCTCCTGCAGGGAATAAGACATACACCAGTTCAAAACAGCTCTCATGATTGCTTCTCACCTCTTATTCCTGTCTCCCCGTGTCCATCTGGCTGTGGGTAGAGTCTGGTACTGTGTACTGAGTGCAGTGTTTGCTGGGGATACACGGGAGCACAGAGTGGAGGTAAGGAATGAAGAATCAGCAGCCTCTTACACATGTCTTAAGATGTCTTTGGGCAACCTGGTCTTGTAGGTGTTCTTGCCCATGGCAGGGGTGTTGGAACTAGATGATCTTTAAGGCCCTTCCAACCCAAACCATTCTATGATTCTATGAAGATACACAGTTTGGCCACATGACTTTCTAACTGCTAAGCCATGAAGGTGCGCCAAAGCTTTGATTTCTCTCCCAGATCCAAGTCTAAGATGTGGGGACTGGAGGGAAGTTAGAAGACAGCTACAAGTCTACTATGATCACATTCCTCCAATATTTGGAGGTTCAAGAGTTACTGTAGATCACAAAAAACTAGTATAAGGGTGGCAGAAGCCCGAAGGTCCATGGTGGATTTGACATGACCCATGTTATGAGGTATTAGGAATTACATCATGTCTCCTGCCACTCTAGGCAGGATGCTGTGACTAGGTTAGTGCTTCTAGAAGAACAGGTGAGGGCTATGAGATGCAACCAAAGGAAGGGAATGAAGATTACCTCTCTGCAATGACAAGCTCCCTGGCTCTTGAGATGTGAAGTCATTGGTGCAAACAAGCAGTTTTTCTCCCTGCTTCAAAGGGGGAATATCTACAGGTTCCACAAAGCTGCTAGGAAACTGCCCTAAAATGAGAAACAGATGTCAACAATGAGTCTTTCCTGTACCACCACCACACCCTCCACCCTCCTTCCAGATATTGGGATCTTTTGCTAAAGGAAAACACCCAGCTCTCCTGGGTAACTCAGCGTCATGGTAGAAGAGGAATGAGTTTGGGAGTCAGGAACTTCTGAGGTTTTAAATGTGTAAGAGCTAACAGAGAACAAAAAGCTTTGTGCCTTCAGCTCACTCCCAGCAAACAACAGCCTGTGTTCATTTCTTGGACTGTGCTATCAGCATTAAGTTTCTGGGAACAGACACATTAGACTTTCTCTGCTTTCACTGCTTGCTTCCTAACTCAGAGTCATGACCAGGACTGAGAGATCGAGCAGTGCTGGACCATGAGATCAGTGTCTTCTGACTGGGCACACCCATCTAGTGCTCCTCACTTTGTAAGGCTTTGTCCCTGCACAGCCTCAGATGTCAGACCTCCATACTTGAGATGGCCAAGTCTGAGAGTCACACATCGTCACAGCTTCAGTGCTGCTGAGGCTCCAGGGACCTGCCCTAGTTTCTCACCTCTGTGCTCCTATTTCACCATGGCACCCACTGCTGGATGCCCAGCTATTCTGTGCAGGCCAGGGCAGCACACACTTGTTGGCCACTGCAAGTTATCACTCAGCTACTAATTTCAGTCCTGGGAGTATTGGACATAGCAGAGCTCACTGCAAAAGCCACTACAAATGTCATTCCCATCTTTATAATTTGTGGCAAAGAGAAGTGATGGAATATGGGTTAAAAGCACTTCCAGCATTTACTCTTGGATGACCCAACCCATGTTCTCCAATAAAACTTGGAGACAACATATCTCAGACACCAGAACTTTGCTCTGGGTTTAGGCAGTTTGGCATTTGCTGTCAGTAACCTGAAGTGCAAACAGCAGCCGACAGGCCAGTAGCCTCAGTGGCTTCCTTCACAGTTTTAAGCAACTGTACCTCTTCTTCCATGTCTTAATTTCTCGCTCTGTACATAGAAACAACCTAATGCTGTTAGAAAAGAAGTCATGGAGCTACATTAACTGTTCCCCACAGAACACTATTATTGGTAGGCTGCAGCACCTCCACAGCTTCTATTCAAAAGTACTTTTTCAATTTCCTACAACTTTAGTTTAGAAAACTGGGCAGAAAACTACAACAGCTGTTCCAAAGGAAAGCAGGAA